AACTAACACTTCTGCATGACTTTGACCACTCATTGGGCTCTAGTGACGGGGGCAGGCTCCAAGACCAGGAGCACCAGCGGGAAGTGGACAAAGCTATAAAGAACCTCGGTCCTAGACAGTCAACCTGGTGCTCTCTCTGAATTTCTCAACCCCAATGACCCCCCTAGCTGGACCCCAGAGTGATTCGGTTGATCAACATCATTCACCATTTACTGAACTGTACGTCCCCAGTGCTAGCTGAGGGGTACAGCTTATGCCCACAACCTACCCTTTTCCAATATTTTGTCACTCCCATATCAGACTTCAACCTCACTAAGATGGCCCGGGCTAACCATGCCTCTGTCCTTATGGGCACAGTTGCTACACATGTAAAGCTGGTACACCTGGCAGGTAGTTGCCTCAAAAATCTTACCGGTCGGGTTGAGGTAGGCAACCTTACAGACAAAAATTGTAATAAGACAGCCCCCATAGATAGTACCAATGTCAACTGCAGTCCTTAGAGGGGAGTCTACTTTGTCTGTGGTCTGTTCTCATATCAGTGTCTCCCAGATAACTGGATGGGGATATGTGCACTGGCAATCCTAACTCATCAGATTGACATTGTACCCAGTAACCAAACCTTGGAAGTCCCCCTAATGCCCAGGTAAAATGGGCCATTCGAGTCATTCCTCTGCTTCTCAGTCTAAGTATTGCTGCAAGAGTTGGGACAGGAGTTAGGGGTATAGCCACTTTGGTAATGTATTACCATAAAATTATCCAGAACCTAGCAAATAGGATAGAACAGGTGGCTCAAACCATGATAGCCCTCCAGGATCAACTTGATTCCCTGGCCCAAGTTGTCTTGCAAAGAGGCAAGGGCTGGATCTGTTGACAGTGGGAAAAGGGAAGCTCTGCCCATTCCTGGGAGAAGACTGTTGTTTCTATGTTAATAAGTTTGGCATCGTTCAAAACATAGCCCAACAACTCCATGACCAGATGGCAAGAAGGAGAGGCCATGGCAGATGCATGGGAAAGCTGGAGCAGCCTTTGGCACTGGGCTCCCTAGCTCCTACCTCTATTAGGCCCCGTCTTAATGGTGCTCTTAGTATTAACCTTTGGGCCATGCATATTGAACCTCAGGACCTGGTTCATCTCCTCCAGGATAGAAATCATTAAATGTCAAAGGCTGGCTGCAACCTGAACAGTGTACTGACCAATTGACTCTCCTTAATGGGTGTTTTGAGAAGACTCAAAAAAGGGGAATGAGGCAGGAAATGGCCAGCCAGGCCAACTGCACCACAAAAAGATAAGCAGCACTGTTCAGCAGCTGAAGGTTAGCTAAAGGGGAGGTTGTTATGCTCCAAGGACAAGGAAATAGCTGAATTCCTATGGTCTGTAACTGCTGCAGACTTTCCTCTCTGTGACGTCCATCACCCATGCCTACATCTTCCCCTTAGGAACCAATATACCCTCCTACCCTGCCCAAATTGGGGCCGAAAGCCTGGAGTCTGAACTCCTCTGGGTCTGCCGGCGTAATAAACCTGAGTTCTCCAAGTGACATTTGCTTTCTCGGCAGTCTGTTTCTGCAACAATATGAGAAAGTATGGATATCTTTAATATATAAAAAGCTGTTACTAACTGACAAAATAAGGTAGACAACATGACATAAAAAACTGAAGACTTCAGTTGAAGACAGTGGACTGAAAACAGGCTTTATAATCTTCCTTTTCCATCCCAAACATAAAATTAAGAGAAAATTACTGTATAATAAATATATAAGTTCATTACTGCAATTAAGGGGGAGGGAGAAGGATCCCTCAGGGGCAAGGAAACTAAAATATGTGAAAGATGAAAATCAGATGGATAATAAGGATGTGTTATAGCCCCAAATACCCAGAAGACAGTATTCAACAGAAGGTAAAACTACATCAGATACAAGAGCAAAGACTTGAGGGCAAGAAAAGCCTTAAGTCTCTAATTCTATAGTAATCAAACCACCGTTCAAATGTGACCCCAAATAGAGGTTTTTATAGACATTCAGTGCTCAGAAAGTTGACCACTGCCCATCCTTCTTTTTTTTTGGAGAGGTTTTTGCTATAGGGCGTGTGCGCTTGCCAGACAGACAGAGAGAGACAGAGAGACGGAAAGCGAGAAATCACCCCCCAGGGGGGATGGCCACGCCACAATCCCTTCTCCTCCATTCTCCTCTTGGGATCTTGGGCACGCACACACACGCGCCCGGCGTTGAGTTTAAGCCACTGGGTCCAGGACTTGAACCATGGTCGACTATGTGGGAGTACAACGACATAACCATTACGCTAACTGCTGGTCCCAACCACTGCCCATCCTTGTAAAAGGATTATTAATGGAACACTGAAGCCATTAATAAGATGATTTACAGGCTTTTAAGAGTTTTTTTTTTAAATAGTAAGTTAGAAATATAATCTCAGGGCTGGCCCTGTGGCTTAGTGGTTAAGGGAGATAGATCTCACAAGATTAACCACAGAATTTGAGTCCCAGCCTCAGTGGCTTGAAAAACACAGTGTGTATATGTGTATGTGTGTCCAAAATCCTGAAAGGAAGAAGAAATGGGGAAGAGATTGTGGCATGTCTGTACTTCATCGGAGGGTGCTTTCTCTCTCTTCCTCTGTCCCTGGCGAGTATATGTGCCCTCTGGCAAAAAAAAAAAAAAAAAAGGAAATATAATCCCAAATGTATTAATAAAAGAGGTAAGGGAGAAGCAAAGGGAGATTTAAAAAAAAGTAACAGATAACAACAATGGAAGCACTTTGGTGTTCTTGTGTTATCTGGGAGGTAGATACAGGAGCACACAAGCTGAACCAGAGTTCTCCAACTTTAATGTCCCTATGAATCACCTGGGGATCTTATTAAAAAGTAGATTCTGACTCAATATCTGGAATGGAGTCAAGAGTTTGTATTTGTAAAAACATTAGAGGTGATGTCGATGCATTTGTGAAATAAAGTGCAATAGTAGTAACAAAACGATATGCAAAACCATCTGTAAACAATAGATAAGACAATCTGGAAATTAAAAACAGACAAATACATATGCTTTTCTTTTCTTTCTCTCTCTTTTTTTTTGGAGAGGTTTTTGCTATAGGGC